GCTCCGATTTTAAAGCATAGAATTTCATTTAGAGCTTCAATTCTGAATTTAAATTGGTTATCTAGACGATTATTTCACTAAATGATATAACATCATATGTATTTCAATTAATTGAAGAAATGATTTTATTGTAATATTTGAAGCTAACTGGTGTAACGGTAGCACACTCGGCGCATATTCAAGAGGTCCAGGTTCGAGTCCCAGCGAGGGCATTGCTCATTTTTCATGTCTCGTGCTTCAAAGTAACCTAATGTCTGTACAAAAGAAAAATCGATAAAAAGTCTTAATATCAAGATAGATGACGGATCATTCACATTATAATGTTTTCAGCTCGTTTTTAAATAAACGGCATCTTAAATATCGTACAATATTAAAGTTTATGGAAATACTAATTCAGACGTTGATTATTTACATTTTGCCATGAATTTACATTTGTGGAAATTATAAATACAGCTACGTCATCACATAAACAAGTAGTTAGCGTTAGAATGCAATAATTGAAAACAATAGTTAAATTAAAACGTCATACCACATTCCTTTCTAGTTAATTTCATAACCAATTCAAGATTTAAAACATTGGCATTACTTTAAAGTGTGAGATAAAGAACCAATTCTCTAGAAATAAAAATTGTAATTTTTGCTGAACCTTTGAACCAAGCCGAATATCTATCAATAATGAAACGACTGGTATGTTCGAAAAACCTTAATTAATCAATGATCAGAAATTAATTCATGAAGCAGAACGAATTCTTCGAGGCGGCATATTCAACCTTCTTCTTACCTTGTCTTCTGCGTGTCAACCTTTTTCTGTTCGCTTTAATTAATTAAAGTTTCTTTTGCTTGTTTAATTTGTTTGCGCTTCTTCATGAAACTTTGTAAGAAGTTTCCCTTCTTACCGCGTACCTTCGTGGTATAACTGAAGCATATCCAGATGGAAATCGGAAGGTCACGAGTTTAGATCCCGATTGGGGAACTGAGGATTTTTTCTGCATCCTGGCTTCAAATATTCTATATGCACTCTACAACCTTATCTGCTAAAGTTAAAATTAACCAGTGTTAATTTTAATTTAAAATGAATTTTTAATTCGGATTAAGATTATAGTTAAGATTAATCAAATCATGAGCATGATTGACTTATAAGGTATTTATCCCACCTTCTTAGCATGCCTTCGTAGTGTAGCACTCTTCGTAGTGTAGTTCGTACTGCACGCTGGGCGCGTATTCCAGAGGTCAATGGTTCGTTTCCCGGCGAGGGCGTTGCTCATTTTTCATCTTTCCTTCTTCCAATTAACCTAATGTCTCTACAGACTTAATTCCATTCAATCATGGTAAAATTTAAATAGGTTACTCATTCGTGTTTTTCTTAGCCTCTCTTTATTAATTAATGCATGAAGAACGATATGCAAAATGTTCATACATTTCGAATGCTTGTTTCGGATATTTTTATCTCCTTCTTAATACCCAGAAATCATTACATCTTGGAAGCGCGTTCACCATTCGTTTTCTACAATCCAAACAAAATTAAACATTTCGCGTAATATGTTTATATTACTGTACTTCATTTTGGGAATAAAAAGAATCAATATCATACTATACATAAATCATCTGTATAAAACCTGTTTAGGAACAGGTTTTTAAGATACGTATTTTCAAATTTCAATTTCGATGAATTTATTCATCTAATGTAAACTTCTAATCCATGTTTTTATTTAATAAACCAAAATTGTTCTAACGTAGGCTACTAAAGATGTATTTAGATATATGTTATTTCGATGTAATTCTACGTGATTTTGAAGAAACTAACGCTGAGTAGCATTCCAAAGCAAGCTTGATTTTTTTTTAACTACTTTAACGGAAAGGATCTCAAATACTTTATTCGTTAGAATAAATGATTTATTCCATTTTCATGAACCTGAGTCCTTGCGGCTAAATGACTAATAAATTTTAAGGGCAATGCATCTCAAGCACTTGTGCGTGATAAGGCGTGTTTTATCTTTTGATGTTTCATCGCCAACACATGATTTGTGTAGTTATGACATTTTCACCTAATGAACAATGCGACTTTATTGCATGATAGTAATTTTCTTTAATTTAACCACCAATCGTCCTTCACTCATATCGATTTAAACAGTAGTATGCACATTACGGATTATTTGATGGTACTGTAAGAATCTGCCTTTAGAGTTCACTTTAGAAGAATAAACGAAGTCGAAAAAAAATTGAACGAATCGAAATTCTGTAATTGAATTTATTCTTTCTGTTGTTCTAAAAGATATTTGTTTAAAAAATGCTGTAAGTAAAACTATTAAAAACGTTTATATGCATATCATATGCAGAGAATATCGATCTATAGTTTTTAACGGGAGAAATTTAAAAAAAAAGGAACGCGGAAAAAACTAAGCCAGGAAAGTATTACGCATCATAAATACATAAGATAATGTAAGCAAATAACATCTATTATTTTCAACATCAATATATTATATTAAAAAAGAAGAATGTCGAACACTGTAATTCACTTCTTGCCTGACTTTTGCTTACACTTAAAATACGACTTTTCGAGACTTGAAATAGTTTCAAAATTAGCATTGCTTCCGCTTTGCATACACACACACACACACACAAAAAAAAAAAAAAAAAAAAAAAAAAAAAAAAAAAGCATATGACTTTTACAGAGTTTACTAAACGTCGATGAAGTTCAGCACCGTTTCTTTTCTCTTTGAATATTTATCTTCCTTCTTCTCCCATACTCCTCGTTAACCTAAACTAAAAACTCCCAAAAATTCCCTGAAAACTAACAGGAACAAACTAAAGAGATGTAAGAGGTTAAGTTAGGTTACATAAATATGCCAAAGCATACAGAAGCTATCTTTCTTCGATCAGCATGCCTTCGTGGAGGACTTTCTAAAAGAAGTGGCTCATATTCCTGTCACACATGGAGAAAATCAAAAGTGTTGCTATACTACAAAATTTGCTCATTGATACTTAGTCTGCTCAAAAGCAACTTCTTTCCGACTCCCTTTGTTTTCGTTTCTCCCACTTCTGTAAGCAAGTGACGTAAGCGTTGTGAAGAGTCTAGCCTTGCTTGTCAAGTGCTCTTGGAGAATACCAGGAAAACAACCATGCGGGCAGTCCGTTCGCCTGGGTTGGAACCCAAGATTAACTACCTGTAATTTAGTAGTTTTTAAATGAACGGCCATGGTACGGCTTTGAAAAGTAAGAGAAATAAATATTTTTCTTGGAACGAAATTGCATTTGTAATAACGCGGGCGTTGAAATGTAGGCCACACATGTAGCTCGACTGTATTATTCTACTGCCAGATTTAACTAACTAATTTTAATTAATCTTACCTATTACAATTTTACTCTTTTCGTACGAATTATTGTTACTACTTTAATTCCGAAATTTTGTACCCGAACTTAAGTAATAATTTTCAAATAAAATAAAGCTAAAATACCTCTTACTGCAGTTTTAGACTTTACAGAACTCAAAAATAATAAATGTTATCCACTGTTGCTTGAAGAGAATAAATTCAGTTAGAGTGTTTAACTATAATAACATCCAAAATTAAATATTCTATAAACTTTCAATTCGTAAACGGCTAGTTTTTACCAGTCTGGCATTGATCTTTGCAAGCTATTAAGTTAGAAGGTATTTTGCGTTCCTTTCCATGCCTTCGTGAGGTAGTTGGAAGCATACTCGACGCATATTCCAGAGGCCCAAGGTTCAAGTCCTGGCGAGGTCACTGCACATTTTTAACGTCTTCTGCATCAAAATAGCCTAATGACTCTACAGTGGCGCCCGAACTAAAATGTGTTGGACGATAATTCGTCACCAGCAAATTTAATGACTGGGTCCCTTATCCCCAGTCACCCTTTAATTGGGGAAGTGTGTAAGAAAATTTTCTCTCTTCTTTCCACATGCTTTCGGGCTGTAATTGGGAGCATACTTGACGTGTATTTGAGAGGTCCAGGGTTCGAGTCCTGGCGACGGCGCTGCACTTTTTTCCCGTCTCCCGCTTCAAAATAACCTAATGACTCTACAAAGTCACTTACCACGTTACTAGGTCTGTAAAAGCAAACGAAATAACACATGTTGCAAAGACGCATCTAGTATCTGGTTGTATCTTTGAAAACAAGGTTCCTAATGCAAGCTAACTAAATAATAGACATTTCTTCAATCGTGGCTCAAGCCGATGAAAAGATAGCATGAAAGAATGAACATGAAGAGAAGAATATTAATATGAAAAATGAAAATAAGTAGCTGTTTAAATAAAACTTTCTAACAGAATTTGGCTAAGTAATCACCTTGTTTCTCTTGTCGCGATTTTGCCGTCTACATTGAAAATAAAACACTTGGTAACAGTAGTGTAATTCTGCAGCAACATAAAAATGCAGAAGATTTTGCGTTTTTTTTTAATTTCCCTTATATTAAATACTTACTATGGTTTTATTATGCAGCAACAGTAAAGAAGAAAAACAAACATAATAGTTCTCTTTCAGGATCTTTATATAAAAATTCGATTTCAACCTTTTTCATAGATTTACAGATTTCAAATGGCGCGGATATATAATTCTTAACACGCTTAACTTGTAAGAGTGGAATGACAAACATCAGGCTGAACTCTACCCAAAGTATAGAATTTGTTCTAAAATATCAAAATCATTTGCACCATGATAAAACAAAGAATCTGCAGAGCCACGACTTTTTAGAAAATCATGTTTTGCTTATTTTAATAATTCTCCTGTATTACTCTCCAAAGAGCATGTATTTTTGTTTTTAGCATGGTACAAAATATTTAAAAAATTAGCATACAGAATGCATATAAGTCGAAGCAGCGAAAAATATAAATTTGTGGTTTTGGCATGGTGTTGAAGATATACATTTTATAATGATATTCTGCAATAGTTTTCTTATTATAGGTAGATATTTAAAATTCTTAACCGGAATATTTTCCGCATTGGTTTACTGATTAATTAGTTTCTGTTTTTGTCTTCAGGATGGAGCACGTGGATATCAGCTGCTGACGTAAAATGACCAGCGATAGCCTGCGCCGGTCGAGCTGCGTTCCAGTTGCCGGACATTCTTATCGCTGGAGGCGCTTCCTTCCTTGGGTCGCTTTTTTCCTCGTTATTATCACCGTCCAGTTCTACGCTATTGCGGTCAAAGATTTCGGATTCCTAAACACTTTGCAAAGTAAGCAAGCAGGCTTCTTTCCATTTTTCTTTTCATTCTATAAGAATAAAAATAGTTCGAATGGCTTCATTGATCATAAATCTACCGAAACGTTGAGGTACTTACAATCAACTACGGATTTACGGGCCATGCACGACTTCCACGATTGCGTCAAAATCACTATAAATCCGAAAACAATTACAAACACGGTAAAGGGTAATAAACCGCAACATAATTAGGAATAAAATACCATTAAGGGTTTACCACTATTTGCAAATAATTTAGCCCTTTGCGTGGCATAGACTTTTGTATATGCTCATGAAAAACACCATTTTAAAACAGCCTTTTTAAAACAGTAAAATTCAGATAATGCGTTCCTTTTATTCTCTGAATTAAATCAATATTCAAAATAAAAAAGAACACAGTGTAGGTAATGAAATAATATGCTTCATCAGAAATGAAGAAGTTAGGCTATAACTGGCATTAAAAATTAATTTTTTCTTTATTTGCCCTTTATATGTTCTGTATAAAAAATTTTTCATCCTTTTGCAATAAACGCGCTTGTTTAAGCAATCCATGTTTATGTGCAATCAAGTTAATCTGTCCCTGGCCAACAGTAAGTTGATTACTGATATGCTAGATTGCTATACGTGTATAAGCACTTGAAAACCTTTAGAAAATGATGTTCTGGGTTCATACCGTAGTATAAGCGGATACAGTTAAGTGTTTTACCTGCTTTTTCCGCATTAAGTTCTCACGCGAAGTAAATTTTGCAAATCAGCTGTTTTAAGGCATGACACCTGAAAGTATACAAACTAACCTCATTTAGGTCATATTTTATTAACTCGTTTTAGGACAAAATAAATAAAATCTCTGCATTAATTGTGTTATAAAACAAAGAAGCTAAAAGAAAGTGTTGCGGTCTCTCTAAGTGAGCACTCCGAATAGACAGGAAGAAATATAAAAAAAGTTGGAGTCGCTATCTCAAAATCATTATTTTTTGAAGATCTGTTTCAAAATTTAAATATATCTGAATAGTTATGTTATGCATTTTTTCTCAGTACGAATAATATTATTTGCTTCCTTAATGCAAGTGCATTTATCTCACAGCCTTAATGCTTTATTCTACGTGCTTTAATCACGAGGTGTACAGTGTACTTCAAAAAGATTGCTCTGCCGAACAGCTTCGTAACAGTTGGTAGCTAATTTGAAGTTCTACTTACAGAAATTAATGAAACCGGGTAGACTTTCAGGCTAGGATACTTTTGGTTAACTAACACATTTTTATCAAAAATACATGAAATTAAAATATTTATAAACGCAACCGGGTAAACAAAATGTCAGTGTAAGAAATACATAACTGAAACGTCAATTATAAAATCCATCCTCGGTTTTTCTCAGTCAAACAAATATACTCCATCCTTAGTTTTTTCAGCTTAAACAATCAAATGAAAAAATTCCGTTCTCAGTTTTTTTTAAACTAAAACAGTGAAAAAACCAACAAAAATTTTCTTTTTCAGTTTTCTTGGCCGAAACAGTTGAACAAACAAACAAAACAAAATTCCATCCTGTTTCCTTAGCCGAAATAGTCAAACAAAAATATTCCGTCCTCAGCATTTTAGCCTAAAAAATAAAACAAACAAACAAGCAAACAAAGTCCATTTTCAGTCTCAAAATCACCCATTCCTTACCCGAGTTGATATTATCAGCCCATCTGTTAAATGATGACCACAAAAACGTCTAAATTCGGTTACAAACTAAACTTATTCATGTACTTAAAATACGAAGAAATTACACTTCTCATTCTTACCGTAACAGCGAAACAATTTATATGGAAAACTGTAATTAATCCGTTAATTTTGCCCTTTCTGAATAAATGTATCAAATTTGGGAACTCAATTCAAAGTTATTGAAGATGTTGCTGTTGGTCTAACTCAGAGAAAGTTGGCAACGGTCTTCATTGGAAGAATATCTTAATAAGCAGTGAGTGTTTTGAAATTACTAACTACAGTTTATATGGAGAAGTTTCCATATTTTTTAATCTATGCTATTCGATACTTATCTTTGCAATAAATGCGCACTTTGATGAATGTAATGGTATCAATATAACCCATATTTGTTAAGCCAGACTCCAGGAATTTTTATTGTGATTTATCTCCAGATAAATCCAGATTGATTTTTATTGAATTATTTATCTCCAGGTGTTCAATATGAAAATTGGATAGTAATGATCATCGACAGTCGTCTCTTATTCAACCACATTTACCTCTGTAGAAGACCAAATTATGTGAAACCATGGTTTGTCATGTTATAGATGATTTACTGCAATTCCGTCTTCATACAACTGAGCTGGATCAACGAAACGCGCAAGTCATGGCCACGAAGCGTCCTTCCACGAAATGTGCGAAAGAGCTTCAAATTTTTAGTTACGCAAGACACCATTTCATGAATCCGCCACTGTATATTACTAAAATTACCTGAAATATCATTAACTGAAATTTTGGAAAACAATACATAGATTTTACTAAAGACAGATAAGTTAAAAGTTTTCAAAAAAATATTTTTTAAAGCTTTTTTTTTTTTTTTTTGTCAGGTAAATATTTACACAGAAGCATAGATTGCAAGTTCCCACACGTAAAAATATACAAGAATTCGCTGTTTCGTATCTAAAGAAATCAAATCAATAGAAAAAAATATAAAAACACCTCTACTAGAATATCACCAGAAAAAAATACATCAACTAATGTATTTGCAAAGCAGATCGTTAAACTTTACATCATCCTGCTTAAGATTCATCACTGTATTTTATCATCCCATAAATAATGCGTTTTTTTAAATTCATTTTTTTCCCAAAATTAAGGTATACAAAGTTCTTTTTTTCAATCTAAAATATACTTCCGTTCATTCTCTGCTAGTTTTTAATAATTACGACCCAGAGCTTTTCCTCCAGGGTTTGTGGGACGTTATCGTCGAATTAGTTCTACAGATCAGCCACCAAACATTTTCTCTTCTAGGCTACAGTTTCCAGCAAATAATTTCTGGAATCAAAGTTGACACTTGCTTACTCTTATTGTTCGACCCCCATATACTACTTTAATATTCTTGTCAATAATCACTTAATGATTAAAATTCATAAAACAAAATATGGACAGTATTCTTCTTTTTCACATCCATTTAGCTTTGACAAAAGTAACTGTTCAAATCCAATTTCATTCTCCAAAAACTGCACAATGAATAAGAACAAGGTAAAACTATTACTTATTTTCATAGCAATTTTATACAGGCAATTTAATCAATCCCTCTCGGACTTTAATTTAAGACACTTCATGATTTATAGGATGGCTTCCTCTTTACCCAGTTTTTATACAAAATACTACATATTGCAATGAACCTATCTTTATTTATTTTAATTTCTGTTGAAAACTTAGCGCACCGAAAACAAAAAGTGTTAAAGAAAAAAAAATTTCTTACTGACTTCAATTTGCATTAGTAATATTTGCCATTATTCTGCAATGTTTGATATATTTTAACTGTTTCTGATAGTAATACGTTATCCGACGTTCCTGGTTACCTCACCGCCACTCAATCCCATTTAGGTCGAATAATCAGAACTCCTTGACAATTAAAAAAGATTTGCTATTATCATAATTTATAAAGTAATAGTAACGTACTTTTCTTTTAATTAACATTGTTATAATGCTACGGGCATATTTTGATAGAAATTTAGCTTTAAAATCTTAATTTAAATTTCCGTTCCTCCCTTTCTTTTTTATAACTTCATTCGAAATGTCAAAATATGAAACTTATTTAATCTGGAAGTATAAGAATAAATTAGTTCATGAACTTTTCGTATCATGAGAGATTATCATTAGGCTACTTTAACTATGATTCGAGAGCCATTTCAAGCCTTATTTCCGTCCTGAGATTCCGTTTCCGATTTGAGACGCCTGACAAAACCAGAACACTCACAGATTCGGGAACTGAAACAAGCGAGTGCTATTACCATGGATACCGAGACCCGAATCAGTCTTTGACGTGATATATCAAGTTAATAATACGGATCGAAAAAGACTAGAGTTAACAAAAAAAGTCAAAGTACTGGATATTACGTTATTGGACCAAAAACACTGCCATTTAGACTTGAAGATGGCCGTTATTGGCAATTACCCGAGCCCTGGACCTAATTTTGAAAAGCAGCCATGCGCACAGTAGACTCTTGCTAACTAATCTAAAAACTTTCTAATCTGAGATATGTAGAAGTAATGAAATAAAATATGAATATTCTTCAGTTATCGGGACCGGACTCAGAAATGTATGTATGTGTGCACGTGTGTATATGCATATGTGTGTGTGTATATACACCAAAATTTGTATTTTTTAAAACAAACAAAATACACTGATTCCGGAAAACTAAGCGAAGAAACTCATTTTATTTACACAATCTCTGCAACTGCAGATAAATTGCTTTTAAATTTTTTTACTTCGCTAAAATTAAATTTAAAAAAAAATTTGAAAGTTTTCAGATTTTATATTACGCCCAAAGAGGCGTTTTTTTAACTTTCTGTGCGTTATCTTTATTTATTAAATATCATGCTCTTTGCACTTAGACCATAAAATTCAAAAAATACCTATGGTAGAACAATGTTTTATATATGTCTAATACACTGATTCCAAAAAAATATATATCCTAAGTCGCGCTTTCGAAACATGAAAAACCCAACTGGAATTTTGTCAATCGGCCGAGTAGAACGGGAGATACAGAACTGTCCCATTTTTTTTTCCGCATTACGCCACGTTCTTAAATTCGTGAACGCCATGTGGCAATATTCAAATAACCACTTCTGTATCTAGAATTTTTCAGTTCACAATCACTTTTATTCTTTTGAAAACTGTGCATATCACTAAAAAAAAGCTGTTTTTAAATCTAGAATGAAATTTTAGTCAACATTTTGACTGCACTTTACACCCGCAGTCTGCCTCTTGTAAGGGAAACGTAAAATAAATCATTATTATTCGGAGCC